ACCTCCTTTATTTTCACCTGGTGATCCAGCCAACAATTCTGTTAGTTTGTCTCAACCCTCTACCACTTGAAATGGACAACTTCGGTTGTTAAAGTTGAAAAAGATTACAATGATCAGCTTTTATACATTTATGTAAAACCGTTAGCCAAGTCCATCTAAATCTGCATCTAAACACTACCCTGTCCCCACACGGACAATGCTGCTGTTCAAAGGTGTTGCTCCTTACTTCAAAAGTGGAAACATCCTAAGACAGGAAGGGTGTTACTGGCCATATCACCGGGTGAAATATAGTAAAAAAGCCTTAAAAAAAGAAAATTGAATGCAGCCGCCATAGTTAGGAATTGATGAGTTACGTTACAATTTTGTTTTTGGATTTACAGTGCATCCAGAAAATATTCACAGCGCTCAACTTTGCCACATTTTGTTATGTTACAGCCTTATTCCAAAATGGATTAAATTAAATTTTTTTTTCTACAAACAATACCCCATAATGACAACGTGAAAGAAGTTCATTTTGAAATCTTTGCAATTTATTAAAAATAAAAAAACGAAAATAACCACATGTACATAAGTATTCACAGCCTATGACACTCAAAATTAAACTCTGGTGCACCCTGTTCCCACTGATCATCCTTGAGCTGTTTCCACAACTTGATTGGAGTCCACCTGTGGGAAATCCAGTTGATTGGACATGATTAGTAAAGGCATAAACCAGTCTATATAAGGTCCCACAGTTAACAGTGCATGTCAGAGCACAAACCAAGCCATGAAGTCCACGGAATTGTCCGTAGACCTTCAAGACAGGATTGTATCAAGGCACAGATCTGGGGAAGGGTACAGAAACATTTCTGCAGCATTGAAGGTCCCAATGAGCACAGTGGCCCCCATCATCCTGTAAATAGACGTTTGGAACCACCAGGAATTTTCCTAGAGCGGGCCACCTGGCCAAAATGAGTGATCGAGAGAGAAGGGCCTTAGCCAGGGAGGTAACCAAGCACCCAATGGTCACTCTGACAGACCTTCAGCATTTCTCTGTGGAGAGAGGAGAACCTTTCAGAAGAAGAACAACCATCTCTGCAGTACTCCACCAATCAGGGCTGTATGGTACAGTGGCCAGACGGAAGCCACTCCTCAGTAAAAGGTAGCCTGCCTGGAGTTTGCCAAAAGGCACCTGAGGGACTCTCAGACCATGAGAAACAAAAACTCTTTGGTCTGATGAAACAAAGATTGAACTCTTTGGCCTGAATCCCAAGCGTCAAGTTTGGAGGAAACCAGGCACCGCTCACCACCTGGCAAATACCATCCCTACAGTGAAGCATAGTAGTGGCAGCATCATGCTGTGGGGATGTTTTTCAGCAGCAGGATCGAAGGAAAGATGAATGCAGCAATGTACAGAGACATCCTTGATGAAAACCTGTTCCAGAGTACTCTGGACCTTAGACTGGGATGATGGTTCATCTTTCAACAGGACAATGACCCTAAGCACACAGCGTACATAACAAAGGAGTGGCTACGGGCCAACTCTGTGAATGTCCTGGAGTGACCTAGCCAGAGCCCAGACTTGAACCCGATTGAACATCTCTGGAGAGATCTTAAAATGGCTGTGCACCGGGGCTCCCCATCCAACCTGATGGAGCTTGAGAGGTACTGCAAAGAAGAATGGGAAAAATTGCCCAAACATAGGTGTGCCAAGCTTGTAGCATCATACTCTCAAAACGACTTGAGGCTGTAATTGGTGCTAAAGGGGCTTTTATTTTTAATAAATTCCAAAGATTTCAAAACGAACTTCTTTCACGTTGTCATTATGGGGTATTGTTTGTAGAATGTTGAGGAAAAAAAATTAATTAAATCAATTTTGGAATAAGGCTGTAACATAACAAAATGTGGCAAAAGTTAAGCGCTGTGAATACTTTCTGGATGCACTGTAAATATTACTCTAGATATTCAGCTGCCTTGCATTTGTAAGATTTAAAACGTGTGTAAAAACCGGAACGATGAACTTCTCTTAGCTCTTGCAGTGCTCAATTACTTTTATCTGTTCTAGGTTCTGCTGATGCCGGCTCAGCTACTTCCCCATATATTTCCAGCCAGTGCTGGGGAAAGTGAGCAGTAGGGTGCTGAGAGGTATATAAATGGTCTGGGGCCTAGAGCAACAGGGTTTACTCCTTTGGGAGAAAACCCAGCCTGAAGGCTGAGGACCTCTGGACCGTTAGCTATAGAACAGAAGAAATCCTTTTTGGATCCTAGGTCCAGATAGAGCCCAGGGACCCATGTTCCGAGGCCCCTGAAGCAGTGCAGGAAAATTTTGCAGAGGATCCAAGCTGGAGGCATCCAGTACAAAGGTTGATTGGTACTACAAGCATGACAGTTCCCAGGGCACAGTGAAGACTAGCCTTAAGGATCCGAGAGATTGTCCTTACCACTTTGGGAGAGCTCATTAGGGGGGGGGGGGGGGGGGGGGGGGGGGGGGGTCAGTTCTGACTCGGGTTATACCTCTGCCAAGGGGTCTCCTGTGTTGTAGTTCTATGAATTCGAGTGGTTGCACCCTGAAGAGACAGAATAGTTGTGGATGTCCTCCTTTGCGTTTCTGCTAGCTTTGGAGTATCCAAAAGCTCACTCCACCCTACCCTAGTTAAACCAGCATATAAACTGCAAAAATACATGTACGGCTGTTTTTCTGACTTGCGTGACTGAACTACTGTGTGCCTGGTTAAGAACACAATAAGTTGGTGATTTCCTAAGAAGAGCATCTGATTAATATTACTATATACAGGCGTACCTCGGTTTACGAACGCCTCGGTTAACTTCATTTTCTGTTTACGAATGAAAATAATGCCTTGGTTTACAAATTTTTTTTCGCAATACAAAGCAAGTTTCCCCAGGATGCACTGCACCTGGGAGGTTTATAGCGCCGGCCCCGTGCATCTAAAGTGCATTTCATAAAGAGTTTGGAACAGATAAGACTGACTTTTTTCTGACCTCAGGAACGGATTAATTCGTTTTCAATGCATTTACCAATACATTTTTAATCATGTCCCTGTACAGTATGTATGCCTTTAAAGTGCACTTTATAAAGAGTTTTGAACAGATAAAAACACTTTTTTTACGTTTTTCGGACCTCCGGAACACATTAATTGGTTTTCAGTGCATTGCTATAGGAAACCGCATTTCGGTTTACAAATTTTTCACAATACAAAATGTCCCAGAGAACGCATTAAACTTGTAAACTCAGGTACGCCTGAATATTTTTTTAAGACATTGGTGCACAGTGTGTGCTTGGATTGATGGACTTCTCACAGTAATAAGCATATGTTTCATTATTTTTAGGCACCTATTGATTATCATGGACCACACTCCATACGTTGGACTTTTTTTTGTAATTAGGTGTGTACAATTATTAAGTAATTCATATTTTGTGTATAAATTATCCACTTGGGAGTATTTGTGTACATGGTGGAACACTGCACTGTTTAATGTTTTTGATAAATGTATTGCTGCAAACAGATTCAGTCTTCGTACTTTTCACTGAATACATTGAATAAACTGTATCAAATTACATCAAAGTGTGACAGTTTAACATAGGTGCAACAAATGAATATTTTACATTTGTTCAATATCCACACTTATCTTTATAGATGTGATAATATAATGACCCCCTGTATAATGCATTTCCCTTTAATCAGATTGGCAGTGACAATCACACACCAGATTGAACACATTTCCATATTGGGACTGGCAGCTCTAGGACAAGAACAGCCATCTGGTAAAACAGTGCACAGACTGCAGCTTCCGTCAGTAATTTCTCCTAATATGTGCCTTCCACTGACACTGCACAGTATGCCCTCAGTTTCCTGTATGTATGTAAATACTAAATACAATACATAGCTATAGCAGATGCAAATACCAGGCAAGCATCAAAGCACACATCTACCATTTAACCCTGCTAAATACCTTTGTTTTCCTAAAAAGGCTAGGTAAAACAGACACACACTGGTTCCTTACACAACAGCTGAGAAGAATTAAAGCAAAAATGATATGCTAAACTTCACTGAGACCTAGAATTAAAAGGGTATGTACAGGGGCGGACTGACAACTCATGGGGCCCCCGGGCAATAGGGGATCATGGGACCCCTGTATCCTCGCTCACACTCAAACCACACCCAAATAAGCCTATGAAAAGGTGCCAGGGGCATCTCATGGGGCTCCCTACTGACCCCGGGCCCTCGGGCGGTGCCCGAGTTCCCAAATGATCAGTCCGCCCCTGGGTATGTATTAATACTTAAAGTATATCCGCATGCATAAAATGCAAAGGCCACATTACAGGACAAGGATATATTGAACCCTATGTATTGGCCCAGCTTCATTAAATTACTTCTCAATGCACAGGACATCACCCAGAAATTATGCAGACGACAGCAGGAACTGTCCTTCTTAAGAGTGACAGCTAACATTTTATTTTATTTATATATTACAGGTACTTTTATAGCGCTGTCAATTTACTCAACACTTTACATATGTATTTTGTATATTCACATCAGTCTCTAACCTTCAAAAGGAGCATACAATCTAAGGTCCCCAACTCACGTTCATACATAAACAATGGCAAATTTAGACAGGATTCAATTAACCTACCAGCATGTCTGTGGAGTGTGGGAGGAAACCAGAGTACCTGGAGTAAAACCCATTCAGGCAGAACATGCAAACTCCAGGCAGGTGGTGCCGTGGCTGGGATTTGAACCAAAGACCCTAGTGCTGCCAGGCGGAAGTGCTAACCATTTAGCCACTGTACTGCCCACAGGAAAAGGAACAAACTTTTAAAAGCATGGATGACCAACATTCTGTTATAAAGTGCATATGATGCTAGTGCAGCATTTCCATTAGAAAGCATTACTAAATTGAACATCTAATGAACTCGCAATTTAAAAAAGTTAAAAACAATGAATTACTTCAATTAATCATGAGCATCAGGTTCACTTTAATGTTGGTCCCTTAAAGTGTTACTAAACCCACAACAGTAAAATCAGTCTGTATATGTAATAAAGCATGCTCATTATACTCATTGTGGAACCTAAGGGGTTAATCCTCTGCATTACGTAAAGACCATTTGATCCTGTCTTTTCTGCTTCTCCTCTTGTTCAAATGTCCACGTCTTATCTCCTGTTAAGACAGACTGAACCCGTAGCCATTCTGCACATGCTCAGTTTAATGTGCATTGCTAGAGAGTTTTTTTTTTTGTCTTGGGAGAGTGCATGTAATCAGCATAGGGCCAATCAGCACTGTCCAGACAGAGGTCAGGGGTTTTGCATCCTCCTAGAGCAGAAAGAAAACTCCTCTTACAAGCTTTAACATGTGCTCTGCTGGACACTGATAGTAACAAGACTGCTCTAACTGCTGATGAGAAAAGGTATTTAGCAGTTTATATTTACTAAAACAATTGCATTTCCACATTCTGTGTACTGTGGGAGACCAGATAGAGTGAATGCAGGGTCCTGGGTTTAGTGACACTTTAAGGGGCTCATACTGATCTTCATGTTGCTATTAGGATTGAAGAAAATACCTGGTACTTCCATGGTATAAGGGACCATATGACTTCCTTCCTTCCATGTGACTGTGGTAGTGCTTGGCAATTGAGTAACTCTGTGTAAGCTCCAACTGGGATCAACTTGAAAGCTACACAAAGCTTCTCCTACTTGCTGCAAGTAACGACTAGACCAGCAGGGGATATATATATTCATATTAAAAAGAAGGGAAGGAGACCCATATAAATTGTGGTCTCTACCTTGTCACTGGACAACGTTAAGCAAACTTCACCACACAGCTTGCGAAAGAACAAGCCCAATTTGAAAAGTCCCTCAGGGGGGACACACCAACCTCAGTCTGTTTTTTGATAGCAAGTTTCTACCAATGTACTGCATAAAGAAACAAGCAACACTTAAAGATTTTTGTGGATTTTTAAGTTGGATTGGTTGTCAAGGACATTCCTAACCAAAGATCAGAGAGCCCTTCTACTGGAAGACATAGTAGGCATCCAAGGATGTGTGAATGGCTCTGATTTGTTGAACTTGTTGTCCTGGAATGCACCCACCACCCACTATCAAACTAGAGCTTCTGTATTATTGGTCAAATAAATTAACCAGATAGAAGAACCTGATTTGTTTGCTTGCCCTCAGAGTTTTCTATGTCTTCCTGGAATAGACCATCTAGTTGTCAGGCAGAAGAATTTTTAGTAACCACCCTGACTTTAGAAACCATAGGCATCAAATGTCAAGGCCAATGACAGGAGCACACTGAAGGGTGCCATTTTGTCATTTGACAAAAGGTTTTCTAGTTCTACAAATCTTTTCTAAAACTATATTTTGGTGTGGGAAACCTGTATGGCGGGTTTCTCTACCAAGGTTTCATGGAACTCTAGGATTCCTACAGAGGTTGTCAGGGGTTCCTGGAGCAATTTCTCCTCTCAGATAAGTCCCCACTGACACCATTGATCTTTTGCCTATCTGTAAGGGGGTAATTCTTCCCAATGACCCCAAGAGTAATGTGCATTCTTCCCAATGACCATCACACCAATGTATCAAGAGTTGTAGATATACTTATTTTTAGCAGGGGTTCCCCGAGACAGGAAAAATATTTCAAGGGTTTCTCTGTGTTGAAAAGGTTGAGAAAGGCGACTAAGGCTCCGTTCACACTTGTGGGATGCTGGCACTCAAGTCGCATCAAAGTTGCAGCACCCTTTTCTAAGTAAAACAAAACAATGTGCAGCAACTTTTCATGCAAAGTTATGTTTTCAAAGTTGCATGACAAGTCGCCCAAGTGTGAACAGTGCCTAAGGCATGGGTAAATAAAGAGAACAATAGATTAAAGTAAAACATAAATATACTTATGAAACAGAAGCTATACAAATATGAGTGAATTCATGAACTGTAAAGATGTACATTGCTATTTTCCATTTTCATATCTCCTGCTTTAAAGTCCTTAGGATTTAGGCAGCAGAATCAAGTTACCCTGGAAATGAATCATAGCCCAGTAGATGTCAAAAACATAGTGGGTTAAATTATCTTTTTTTGTGCCTTATGAGAACATTTTCCTTTACAGTCAACATCTCAGCACAGTCACAGGCGCCAACCATACATCTGTTCCTATGAATCACACCTTTCAGACAATAAACCAGCAGGCAAATCCCATCACTTTTTTTTTTTATGCTCAACAAAACAAGCTACCAAAAAGGTACAGTGCAGAGTTTCTTTTAAAATGCTTATGATAATGTCAATTCCTCCACCCACACAAAGTAACAATAATTTAATACAATGTGTACAAAGCTGGTATAAGCCATCTGTTGAACTCAAGATACGATTGGCTCCTATTGTGGTTTATTGCTTGGGAAAATAGGATGTTAGAATTAGGATCTGCCTTTTATAAATTAACACCACATTGGCATATTTAATGACCTACAAGACTCTAGGAACATGGAGCCTTACTCATTTTACAATTTGACAAGCAGTCATGGGTGTAACTAAAATGAGACCATGCAACTGCTATGGGGCTTAGAGCATTTGGCTACACATTGAAAAAGGCATGAAGTAAAAGCATTTGGCAAATAAACTTGGATGAAATGCATGTATATGAAGTTTAGGAACCTATTATGAAAACAATTAATATTTTATATCAGAGTTTTCAAGATGGAGCTTAGAGAGACAGAGGGTCCCTAATAGTTTTGAATGATTTCCCATACATAGCTATGGCCCGCAATATCCTCTTTTCAGTTTGTTTGCATCAGCCCCCACAGAAAAATGAAACACTAAAGTAACAAGGAAAGTCTGATAAAAACACGCACACAAAAAAAAAAAAAAAAAAAAAAAAAAATCACAAGACAACTCATAATGTGGTTCTTCAGAACAGTGAAGACATAATCTGAAATGACAGAACCCAACACAGCACAGCATGTGCATAGTGGTCCACTGCAATGTGGGTGCTTTGACTTATATTGTTACTGTGCTTTGGGATGGCAAGCAAAACGAGAGCAATATGTAACATGACTTAAAACAAATGTTTTGCCAACCGTTACTGCAATGCATAAATGTGAATGGGCCCTAATTTATTGATTACTAATGCACAGCAAAACTAGCTAGAGATGGTTATCTATTTAACAACAGTATTATGTACACCTTCTGGAATTTACCCATATTTACTGCATGTAACTGTACATCACTGACCGTTGGCTGAATTTGAAAAATCAAGTATGAATGGCAAAAAATATGCATATTTTTTGGCATACACATTGCGTTTCTCAGCCTATTCATTTTCAATGGGCCCCCCAACACATGCTGTTAGCCCCAAAAACAGGCAAGAAATTATATATTTGAGCATGCTTTACAGTGTTCTGGGAAGCAGGTACATTTGGCCATATATAAGCAGTCTTTTTTTTTTTTTTTTTTTTTTTTTACACGCTGTTCGTGTATATTTTAAATGCATGCATTGTGGTGTGCTGGGAGGCAGGAGGTTTGTTTTGGCCGTGTAAACCTTCATAAGATGCCTAGTAAAAGGCAAATTTACAAGCCGATACTGGCTTGTAAAACAGTTGGACAAACTGATTTCAGTTTGATTGGCTGCTTTGGAGGCCAGAGGAGAGATCTGTTGTCTCTCCATAAAGAGGAGCCCATTCTATGACAATCTATATTGTTCATCCCTTGTGATAGCAATAAAGTTGATAAAAAAAGTTACAATGTAAAAAATATACATTTAAAAAAATTTAAAGCTACCCCTTCCTCACACATAAATGCAAAGGTGCACATTGGTCCTGCACATAGAGTTGCACAAACCGCATATTCGCTGCCAAACACAAGAGTGAGAGCAATAATTCTAGCACCTCTTGTGTAACTCTAAAGTGGTAACCTGTAAAGGTTTTTAAAGCTTTGCCTACGAATAAGTTAATGTACTGTTGCTTATCATTCCATGGGCATGCCCAATTTTAAAGCATGACATGTTTGGTACTAAATTTACTCTGCGTAACACCTTTTATATTTTACCAAAAATTGGGTATCATATTTGTGTTCACCAAAATTAAAGTTTTTTTTCCCCTAAAAATTTGCACTTGATAAACTGCTGCACAAAAATAGGACTTAAAAAAATTAAAATCTCATATATATATATCCATATCCCCCCGGCTTCTCAGTAATTTTCTAGCAAAAAAAAAAAAAATTAAGAATTTTACACGTATGTGAGACATGTCAGAATTGGCCTGGGGGTCAAGTGGTTGAAGGATGGAAGACGGGGTGTGAATGAGGGGTAGGGAAGCCTTCCAATAGTGTTTTAGCTCATTAGTAGGGAAATACGTGCATTTAACTGGGCAGGAAGTTCTAACAAGGGTTTTCTCGAACATTTCCTTTTCAAACACAAGTTCAAATACCTTCACAGCTTTACTGTAATTTCCCTCTAGCCAGACATGCTCTAGGGCTGCATATTTACTGCCTGTATCTATAGTGACAGCAATATTTTTGGTATGGTTTCCTGTAAAGTAATCAAGTGAAATGTCAGACTTCATAATGGTGCCACACCCCTACGGTATCAGTCTTTCAAAATACACAAGGCGTTGGAGACACCCATAATCATGAGCAATATGTGTTATTTAAACAATTCCTGCCCTGTGCTAATTTAATCAGTGTAATGGCTTTCTTGAAATACTTTAAATTGTTCAATGGCGGAGGGAAAATACAGTATAAAAAACAGCCAAAATGTTAGGGCTAGTGCTCAGCGCAGTCCCAATGCAAGAACAAGGCAATTTGTTGTATACCATATGGCTTCAGTTCACACCAACGGGTTGCAAAAAAAAAAAAAAAAAAAAAAAACAGGCATGTTGTGTTTTTGCAATGCACAGTAATGCAATGCAACATTCTGCAGTGCATAGAATTACATAGGAGCTTAAAGAAAAGGAAGAAAAAGAGCACACACTGCAATGTGTTTTAACACCGCATTGCAGCACATATTTACCACACACTTTATGCACAATAATATACTCTGTGTTGTGCAAGTCTTTAGGAAATATGAACATTTTAAGGCACACCTGTCTAGATTTGAACAGAGTGTGGAGGGTTTACAAGCTTTTTCAACTGTTGATCATTGTCTGCACCCCTAACTTTATGACCTGCCCTGCCAGTGTCTCTGGAATGTAAAATTAGGATAAATCTTCCCAGTGAAGTCACATACAGCAATAAATATATGCCAGAGGTCATAACCATTCTTTGCTCTACTAAAAAAATGGTTTATAGCGGCGTCACTTGGCAAATAGTGACTGGCTGAAAGAACGTAACATGCCCAACTGCTTT